GGTAGAAACCTCAGGAAGAGCAACTGAGGAGGGATCCCTCTTCCAGGATGGACAGACGTGCAGTAGATGTCGTACAGAATAGATCAGCATAATAAATTAACAGTAATCCGTATGACACAATGAGACAGAGAGAGAGAGAGAGAGACAGAGACAGAGACAGAGACAGAGCGAGATGCAGGACAGATGGTAATGACAGTAGCTTACAACAACATTAATGAAAGTAATAATATTATAATTATAGTTCTGGCTACTGTGGTACAATATGTTGAAAGTATATATTAATATCTGATAGTATACATATGTGACAATAATCATATGTGTATAATAACAGTAGAAGTATGACTAATGATAACAGCAGCAGCAGGAGGCATCTGGCAGGACCACGGCAGCAGCACAACCACACACATCACACTATCCAGGCACCGCTGCAATACGAGTTAACCTGAGAGACAGTGGAGCACAAAGGCTCCGGAGAAGAAGCCGAGTTAGTGACATCCAGAATGGCTGAGTTAGCAAGATGCAGTAATAGGACACGAGAGAGAGAGAGAGAGAAGGAGAGAAGGTGCCCGGTGTATTATAGGGGGTCCTCTGGCAGACTAGGCCTAAGTCAGCCTAACTAGAGGCTAGTACAAGGCAAGCCTGAGCCAGCCCTAACTATAAGCTTTATCAAAGAGGAAAGTCTTAAGTCTAGTCTTAAATGTGGAGACAGTGTCTGCCTCCCTGACTGTAACAGGAAGATGTTTCTACAGGAGAGGAGCCTGATAGCTGAAGGATCTGGCTCCTGATCTGCTTTTGGAGACTTTAGGGACCATGAGTAACCCTGCATTCTCTGAGTGCAGTGTTCTGGTGGGATAATATGGCACTATGAGCTCTCTAAGATATGACGGAGCTTGACCATTTAGAGCTTTATAAGTTAACAGTAGGATTTTAAATTCAATACTGGATTTTACAGAACTTTAGCTTATATTGGAGCTATGTATGTGTGAAATTGAGTATGGTGAATGTGCTAGGATAGGTAGTATCGGCACTGTCTCTACCTGGAGCTCGCATGTATGGAACCTGGGTTTGTTGAAGCTGGCAGTGCTGTTTAGGCTGAGAAAGCCATGTGTAAGTAAGGTAAAGGAGGATGTTGGGTTGGTGTGGGGAGCAGTGAGACCTGGCATTAGAGGAGTGTCTCTGGGATGCCAGAGATCACAGTCTAGCCTCCTGGAGGTGTCGTGGGACCAACTAGACAAAGAAACACTGGCGAAAAGAGGTTTCCACCTGATGACCCCAAAGACATGTTAGTTATCACTGCTCACTGGTCTGTATATTTAAGTCCAAACAGCTTCCTATACAGTTAGCGCTTTCAGTGGGCGTGGAAAGTCAGCCATATTTAAAAAACTGAAGACAAACAAGACCTGCCAAGACACATTCAGAATTGGGAAGCTCTTGGGAGGTCTCAGATGACCTATTTCGCATGTCAGATGTACCTGCCTTCCACAAACACAACTAAAGTTAACACGCTTCACTACCAGCTATTTTGTGCTAGGCATGGAGAAATAGACTCCAGTCAGCTTCCACCTTGTGAAGATTGTCTCTACATGCATGCCTTATGAGCAAACTATCAGGCTGCTATCTGGCGGAGGAATCTGGAGTGCAATCTAAGTGTACCAAATCCAAAGGATCATGGATGGAAGATCCATGATGGGGATCTGGCCACTGAGCAGATGTGAGGTACACCTGCACCAGAGGCTGTATTGGACCTACTATCATGCTCCTGCTCACGAACATGTAAACTTACAGAATGGCCATGCCTGCAAAGTGGTCTGCATTGCACAGATATGTGTGAACTACAAACCTGCAGCAACCAGGCAAATGAGCTGGAATGTTTTCCAGAGCTGAATGATAGTGATGTGGATGATGAATGATGTGACAGAGTAAATGCTATACTATATAATGGCTCTAGATGGTCTAAATTCTAATTTGTGTTCCTAGCGTTGACATTATCTCTGTGCTCTGCCTTATGCCATCTCTCCCTCTGTTTTAAGGACTCACCAGCCACAGTTCCTGTCTCTTCTCCACCTGATTCAGAGTCTGCCATTGCTGTCTCTCCATGCTTTCCGCTGACATTCAATTTCAGTATAGTAGCTCTATAATAGTGTTAGTTAGGATGAGGGCAGCAGGTGCCCCCCCTATTTTAGGACGGCCTACATGGGAGTCTGCCTTAGGCAAGTGGTAGCACTCCCTTTGCCTCCTAGTTATGGGTCAAATAGCAACTGGGCAGCTCTGAGTGCTAGTAGGCCTACTGTAGGCTACAGTAACACTGAGTGTTAGCACAATAACTGGATAATCAGTTTCCCCTCCTTGTGATTGTCTTCATTAACAAAACTGGTGCATATTTAAATAAAATATTTCAGAAAATTTGTAATACAAAAAATACTTGTCTTAACTGGGCAAGTTACATGGGGATATCTATTAGTTAATTTTTCACTCTATTTGTAGTGTTTTGCCTACACGGGTGTAAGTTTGTTTACAGAGGGATAACTATAATTAAGCTACTAGATAGGCAGGGCTATCATACCAAAATATAAACTAGAGACCTGTAGATTGATAAAAATGCCAAAATTGTTTGGTCCCCATGGGTGAGAGAGGCCTACCAAGTTGTGAAAATGATCCCTTTAGCCCCTGTACTAATAGGGCCCCATTCTATTTGTCTGTTTGAAGTTCTGGCTGCACTAGTGACCTGTCAGGGGCTGGTGACATCAGATGGTGAGTTGAATAATCTAATAACCTATTTTTATGATAAGATGACATTCTTTGGCACATATGAATGCAATTTTGGGGTGATTGGCTTATTTACATTAATATTGGCAAACACATATGTACATGCCTTTTGATTTTGTTATTCCTTATTCCATGTCCGTCTATAATTCATGTGTGCTTAGGTGTATACATTTCTTGAAAGGAGCAAGGTACTGATGAAATCTTTGCTGCATTGTGTGCAACAACTGTCTGTGAACATTCAGTCCAAATTTGGTGACATTCTGATGATTATTTCCAGAGATTCATGTTCTAAGGAAGATACTGTCCCTTTTGGAGAAGCCTCAGTTTTGACTATTTTCAATTTTGGGGAGGACCAAAAGATCATCCAAAATTTTTTATTAAGCTACTAGATAGGCAGGTCTATCATACCAAAATGTAAACTAGAGACATAGAGGAAGTCAAAAATACCAAAATTGTTTGGTCCCTTTAAGTGATACCAAAATCTGCCTTGGCCCCTGGACTACCTGGTTTTGTTCGTATCTGTAGAAAAGCTATGGTTCTGATTCTTTGGTTAACTTAAGTATTTTTTGGGAAATCATGGACATTGTGTCCTTCAGGCTAAAGAGCAATAGAACCATCCAGATTGTCATTTGCAAACATGTAATTAAACAATTTATCTTCTTCATTTGGCATACAAGCTTATTTTGTATAAACCCTGTTTGTTGTGTGTTGGGAGTGCGTAAGTGTGTATGTGTGTGATTAGGAGCTGTACACACTAAAGGAAGCAGAGGAGATCCAGACAGGTGGACAGAAAAACCACACCACTTAGTTCAGTTCGTGCTTGTTTTTTGTGGATGTAAACTTTTTGTTTTCATTTAAAAAGAGAGAAAGCAATGTATTTGCAAGTTCATATATGTCATTATAGGGAGAGAGGGTGTGTCACATTAGAGAACAGGGCTGATTGCAGGCCATGAAACCTTGTAACTGCAGGTGTGTATTTGCAGAAAAACAGGATCTGTAACAAAAGGCATTTGATTTTGGGATAACAAGCTTTGTTTTATAGTGAAAATTTGTAGTTAACTAAGAAGATAAAACCATTTATGCTGCATTTGGCTGACCTTTCAATGCTCTTAGCAATAAGCGCTTAGATTCTGCACAGCTTTCTCCCTCTCAGATCAGGTCTATCAAGCCTTAAAGTCTCTCTCCTATGTTGGAGGTATTCTTACTTGGAGGTATCTCTTACATATGAGATAATATCTCCTACATAAGAGATAAACTTGGCTGGGATTTTTTCTTTTTTCTTTGCCCTTGACTTTCAGGGCCTCTGCAGATTATATCTGGCATCTGTCATAAAAATTATGATAGCTTCATGCATTCATTAATCATGATGGAATGCATAGCAGCATGCTTTGTTTTGTGTCATTTATTGATTACATTAATTATGGTTTTTGTTGGTTTCTTGTTCTCAGTGCCCTAATGAACCGCTACACAATCACACAAACTATGGAACCTCTTGTTTGAATACAAGGTAGATAATACAAGATCTCTGTTCCAATCTCTTCTCCAGCTCTGATGTATGCCAGTATTTTTGGAAATGTGTCAGCCATTATCCAGCGGCTGTACTCTGGTACAGCACGCTACCACGCCCAGATGATGAGAGTCCGAGAATTCATTCGCTTTCACCAGATCCCCAACCCTCTGAGACAGCGACTGGAAGAATACTTTCAACACGCATGGTCATACACTAATGGGATAGATATGAATGCTGTGAGTATGGGAGACTTTTTACCTGATCTAACATTTTCTCTGTCAGCCATATTGAAAGTCCTAAGCTGGACAGAGTATCTGTCCAGCTATAGCTGGACGACGAAGTCGTCCGAGGACCCTATTGAAATCGTGCTGTTTATTATTAGGGCCCAAGCGACGACAAAGTCGTCCGTAGGACCCTATTGTAATTGCTCTGTTTATTATATTATTATTATTATTATTATTATTAGGGCCCGAGCAACGACAAAGTCGTCCGTGAGGACCCTATTGTAATCTCGCTGTTTATTATTAGTATTATTATTATTATTATTATTACAAACATGTAAACTCCAATTTGGTCCCTTTCCCAAAATCAAAAATTGGCACATGTGTTTGGTCTGGCGAAAAATTTGATATTTCGGCAGTGTTGTATGTGGACGGGGCCAAATGGCGACATAGCGCCCCCCTAGAAAATTTCGTGCCTCGAGCCCCGCTTGTGAGTTTCACCTACAGGCATGAAAATTGGTGGGCTCATAGAACATGCCAAGATGCACAAAAAATCCTCTTGGAGCCATGGCGTAAACTCAACAGGAAGTCGGCCATTTTTTTGAATTTTTTACATGTTTGAACGAACTCCTCCTAGGGATTTTGTCCGATCGACTTCAAATCTGGTACAGATCATCCTGAGTACATGCTGAACAAAAGTTATTAAAAGCGTTTCTCTATGTGAAGGGGCGTGGCCGCTTGGGCGTGACAAATTTTGGCGATTTTTCGTTTTCTTGCCATCGAATTTGGAACGGTTCTCATGCCGACATACTTGATCTCAGCAGCTTCAAACTTGCTGGACATGATGATGGCTCCGCCCCGAACGCCTCGATATGTTAATATCCCATCTTACTCATAGCGCCCCCCGGTGGTAACAGGAAATGCCCAGTTTTTACTTTAACATGTACTGATGCCACAAACATCAGTGTGATGAGGGTCCACCCCTGAACGCACCTGGCCACATCTGGTTATGCTGGTAGCGCCACCTGGTGGATGAACAAAACATTGCATTTTTTCGCTCCTGCCAGGTTTTTTCTCCCTTCTCTTTTCGCGCCACAGCCCCCACGTGCCTCAGGCCCCCACGGTTGCATGGGGGAGCGAGGGCCTGATCACAGCTGCAGCTTGCAGCTTTAATTATTATTAGGGCCCAAACACTGACCTCAGGCGGGCAACGGCCCTCTTGAAACCGTTCCGTTTATTAGAGCCTGAGCACCAACAGCAGGCGGGGGCAGGTCCTCTTGAAATTGAAGGAACTATTAGGGCCCAAGCACCGACCTTGGTGTGATGACCCTATTGAAACTTAAGGAATTATAAGGAGTTCAAGCCCCAAGGGCTAAACCTATTGGTCTCTTAAAGAGCAGCCCCCGCAGCATGTTTCAACAACATGCAAGAAAACCGGTACATATGTGTATCATGTCCAGATTGCCGAAAAAGTCTCTTGGTCCAACTGCCTAAACCCAACAGGAAGTTGACCATTTTGAATTCTGTCATCATTTCTGGTGTTTCCCACGTGTTGTATTTTATTGAACTCCTACAGGTGTACTGGGATTGGCTTCAAGCTTGGTTTGTGTAAGATTGACTACGTTGTGATCAAAAGTTATCACAAGATCTGTCTCATGTTGTAGGGCACGCCCGCTGTGGAGCGTTGAATTTTGATGTCTCTCCATGAAAAATGAAACTGTTGTAACTTTAACGTATATGGTCTGATCGCAACCAAACTTCACATGATTCATAGTTGTCCCAACCTAAACACTTATACCATATTTCCTGATCGTCATAGCACCACTTAGGCGCTACAGGAAATTACATGTTTTAGACTTTGACGTGCTGCTCCTGGCAGCTTGACCATATCCAACTCAAATGTGGTCATAAATGTGGTCACCAATCAGCATTGCCACAACGGCATAGCGATGTTTGATGTTCGCCAAAACACAGCATTAACTTAAGTGTACTTGGTTCAATTTGCCTGAAACTTGACATGTTAATTCATTTTTGCATATTTTCAAAAATATAGAGTGACAGACTTCTGAATTGACTATAGGCTGCAGCATGGCAAACTTTTGTCACAATTCAGTGGATGTGCTGATGGATGTGCTTTCAGCTTTGTAGGACACACTGGTGATTTATTATGGTGATTTCTTATGATTTTTTAAAGTACGGAATGTGAAAGGTCTTGAAATTTAGATTTAATGTAATAAGCCATGCCCCCTTAAAGCAATCATTTTCAAATTTTGTGCATTGACTGAGACATGACCCTAGATGATGCAAACCAAGTTTTGTACAAATGTCTCTGGCTGATTATAAGATATCAACTTTCTGCATGTTTAACGCCCCCTATTAATTGATATGAGTCAAACTCTCAGCGTATGATTCAGTTACTTATGTTGACATTTGCTACAAGTTTTGTAATGATTGGCTCAATGGTTAAAGGAGTAAAATTCATTAATGTGCTGAGCCATGCCCTCTCTACATTTTATTGGTCAATATCACCAAAATGCAATGACATATCAAAAATATTCTGACATCTCATAAAGACTTTCGTTCCATGATGATTCACAGAACTTCTGGCACAAATTGGAACCATGGAGGAGTCAAAAATGTCTTGTTCAGAAAAATCTACATGGTGGACAATCTTGTTGGGGGACCTTGAGGGTTCTTCAGACTTTCATTAATCATTCACTTGAACATGTGTGTCAAATTTCAAGTCAGTCTGACATACCATGCTAGGCTGGTGGCCTTTCAAAACAAAATTTCTTCAAACCGTAATTATACTGCCCCCATCTGGCCAATTGGCATTATATTTGTTGAGCAGTATTTGCATTCAATTTCCAATCATTGATGAAAATTTCATGTCTCATGGGAATTTGCAAAAACATTTCTGAATAATAATAATGATAATAATAATAATATTATTATTGAAACAATAGGGTTTCAGCCCTTCAGGCTTGATCCCCTAATTGCTTCATTAAGGAGTCATGTTAAGTCCTACTTGTAGCCAAGGTATCAATCCAACAGTGTCCTCTCTTTGTGTCCCCCCCCCCCCCCCCCCACCCCCCACCCCCCCATCATTCTCATTCTCCTCCTTCTCCTCCTCTTCCTCCAGGTTTTAAAGGGTTTCCCAGAATGTCTCCAGGCAGATATTTGTCTCCACCTCAACAGGTCACTGCTGCAAAACTTTAAAGCTTTTAAAGGTATTACAATTTTACACATGAAAAGTGGATCTTTTGTGAACACAACTAAATATCACACATCTATCATGGTGCAAGGTAAATACATTTACTACATTTGCTAACCACACATATGTCATTTTATGTGACTTGAAGTAGTTAACATCCATCCTTCCATCTGATTTCAACTGCTTATCCGAAGCCGGGTCACAGGGGCAACATGCTGAGCAAAGTATTCCAAGGGCTGCAGCTGCAGCTGCAGGAGCATCGAGGCGGTCGTTTTATACGATTTTGTCTGTGATTTACGGAACTTTGCACCGTGAAAGAAAGGCATACTGTGAGCAACTTAGTTTAAACTTTACCTACAGTCAACTATCCGTGGAAGACATTCAAAGAAGAAGGCAATGTCTGAGAAACCTAGGCAAACACACACCCGTGCGCAGGACAAAGATGAGGACAAAGACGAGGAAGAAACAGGTGTGCTGTTAAAGGAGTTGAAAGTTATTCAGTCAAAGATGGACAATATTGAAAAGCAACTGAACAGTAAGGTGGACGGACTATGGATCATTGGAAAAAATCCTTAAAAGTGAGCTCAAAAAGTGTGTCAAAGAAATTCAAGATAATATTGATTTAGAAATCGGGGCACTAAAATCCCGTTTAGCTGGAGCAAAAACATCAATCAAGCAATTCTAATGCAGAACTTTCCCTGAGCATTTTCTGACTTCTAATATGTGTTGCTCTACACTGCTTGAACTTGTAAGACAATTTGAACCTTGCCAAGGTACACAGAATAATGTTGATAGATGCTATAATTCACTCTGCAATTTGTTAATTTCAGAAATGGATAAATGTCAACCTAGAAACTTTCATAAGGTCCCTCAGAAAAGGTGTTTCAAGCTTTACTGGAATGCCCATCTTAAAAAACTGTGGAATGACAGGAAAATAGCTGAAAAGATTTTTTTAAAGTATAAAGAGCCCCTTGATAAACAGAAAATGAGAGATGAATATAGGCAAGCACAATTTCTGTTCGATAAGACTCTACGATTCTATAAAAGGAAATTTTGGAAAGGACAGTCACTAAGATTTGATTACTTACAAATCAATAATCCACAGCAATTTTGGAAAGAGATTAACAAACTAGGACCTAAGAGAGTACAGACAATACCTATGGAGGTTATAATAAGTGATGATTTCGTCGAAACTAGGAAAGAGCTTGTGCTTAAAACATGGGAGCAAGATTTTGCTGATTTATTTTCCAGAAATCAGATTTCCTCAAATTTTGATGATAATTTCCTGAGAGAAGCATGTGCTTTAAAAGATGAACTGGAGAGAAATATGGTTCAAGATGAGTATTTGTCTAATATAATTTTGAATTCTGATATCTCTCTGGAGGAAGTGAGAGCTGCCATACAGTCAAAGGAGAAGAAAGCTGTAGGTGTGGAAGAAATCCCTAATGAGGTCTTAAAATCACAGTCACTTTTAAATGTCCTCTTTTGTCTGTTCCAGTTTTGCTTTAATTACAGTATTGTTCCTTCAGTTTGGTATAAATCTATTATTAAGCCCATCCCAAAATCATCAAAAAAATGACCCAAGGGCACCCTCAAATTACAAGGGAATCAGCCTTCTCAGTACTGTGTATAAATTATATTCTAGTATATTGAATGCTTGGCTGTCCCATTATTTAGAAGCTGTAGAATATTTAGTTGATGAGCAGAATGGTTTTAGAAAAAAACGAGCTTGTATTGACCATATTCACTCTGTTTCAACTATTGTTAGAACAAGACTTGCAGCTGGTAAATCAACATTTGTATGTTTCGTAGATTTCCAAAAAGCTTTTGATTGGATTCATAGAGACCTACTCGCCCTAAAACTTCTAAAAGCGGGGGTGAATGGTAAATTCTATAAAACACTTAAATCAATGTATAGTTGTCCTGTTGCCTGTATAGAGATTAAAAAAAATATGCAGACAGATTGGTTTAGTACGCCATTTGGCGTTAAACAGGGTGATATTCTTTCCCCTAATTTATTTGCTATTTATGTTAATGATTTGGCCCACAACATCAAAGAATCAAATCTGGGTATCCATATGGACAATTTAACTCTTGGAATTTTGTTGTATGTGGATGATATTGCTCTCCTAGCTGAATCAGAGGACGATTTACAGAAAATGTTGAATCCTCTCATGACATGGTGTCACAGATGGAGATTAATAATAAATCAAAGGAAAACCCAGATTATTCATTTTAGAAAAAAAGGCTCTCCAAGAAGTAATAAAAATATTACCTTTGGGGAGGTAAGACTGGAATATACATCTACATATAAATATTTAGGATTTACTTTTGATGAGTTTATGACGATGGAAGCGGGAATTAAGTTGTTAGCAGATTCAGCTGGGAGTGCATTAGGGTCTGTGGTCAGCAAGTTTAAGATATGTAAAACTCTTGGATATTCTACCTATTCACAGCTTTATGATGCTTGTGTCTCTCCCATATTAAATTATGCTTCAGGGGTCTGGGGTTTAAGGAATATAAAATTGCAAATTCCATAGAGAACAGAGCCGCTCGTTGTTTCTTAGGTGTGCATAAGTTAGCTCCGATTCTGGCCATTCAAGGTGACATGGGCTGGCTTCCTGGTTCTATAAGACGTTAAGTGTGAGGTGATTAGATTGTGGAATCGTTTAGTAAATATGTCAGAAGACAGGATCAATAAGAAAATTTTTATTTGGAGTAAATTCTACGGCTCTCCATGGGCAAAAGAAATGTTCACTCTATTTGAAGAGGTGGGATTACAGTATATATATAGTAATAATTTAACTTGTTCAATAGCCTCAATTAGTGAGGAGCTATTCGCTTTATTTGAGACAAAATGGTTAAATGATATTCTGTTAAAACCCAAATTACGAACATATATCCACATTAAGCACAATTATGGCCCCGAACCTTATTTTAAAGCAAACCTAACAAGAAATCAAAGGTCCTTAGTGGCACAGTTGAGAACAGGAATCCTTCCCTTGAATCTTGAAGTCGGCAGATTTAAAAACATTCTAGAAGATGAAAGGTTATGTGAATTTTGTGAACTCAACAAAGTTGAAAGTGAATCACATTTTCTTTTATACTGTCCCTTGTATGATGAACTGAGAACTCCAATATTTACCGAAATGTCTGTTAAAAACCCAGAAATTTTCTGGTGCTCTGATGATGATAGAATGAACTGGTTATTTAATTTTAATGTGTTTAAGCTTGCTAATTTTGTATGTGAAGCCTGGAAAAAGCGTCAGGATGGTTTATATGTTTAATTGCTCTACTGCCTGGTATCTGTTTTTTAATTTGCTGTCTTTTTTTTTTTTTTTTTTTGGTGTCTTGTAAGCCCATGGGCATGACACAATAATAAAAAAAAAAAAAATTAATCAATCAATCAATCTAGACATTCCTCTCCCCAGCAACACTTTCCAACTCCTCCTGGGAAATATGTAATCCCTCCAGTGTGTTCTGGGTCTGCCCCGGGCCTTTCTACCGGTTGGATGTGCCTAACACTTCTTAACAGGAGGTACCCAGGAGGCATTCTGATCAGATGCCTGAACCACCTCAACTGACCCCTTTCGACACAAAGGAGCAGTGGCTCTACTCCTAGGTCCTTCAAGATTGTCCGAGCTCCTTACTCTATCTACCTATAAATAAATTTGATTGAATTGATTGGTTGATCTTTAAGGCGGAGCCCAGCCACCATCGTTTTTTTATTTTATTTATCTTTTTATTGTGTAATGTGGTGATTAACAAGTGAAGACAAGTGCAGGGACATGTATGCAGATAAAAGACAGAGACATACAATAAGAATGAAGACAAGACAGGGTGGATGATTTATGCCACTTAATGGAGTAATCAGAAATATTGGAGTATGTTTCATTCAGGTTTCAGAGTTTCATTGTTTCCTGCAGTAATGAGCGAGAGTTTTATAAGAAGAGTAGAATGTCATCAGCATAAAGACTTATTTCATGATGTGCATTTGGTGTTTTGATTCATATGATGTTGGTGTTGCGATGGCAGCAGTGAGTGGTTCAATGAAAATGTTAAATAGGAAGGGACAGAGTGGGCATCCTTGCCTAGTCCCCCTGTGTAGTGTGAAGCATTGTGATGTTAGTCCATTGGTGATTACAGGGGCTGACAGTACAGAATTTTGACCCAGTTAATAAATGATTCCCTAGAGCCAAATCTTCATAATGGGGAAAAGAGAAATAACCAGTTAACTCTAAAGCTTTTTCTACCAGCCACCCGTCTGAGGAAACTCATTTCGCCCACTTGTATTTGCGAACTCATTCTTTCAGTCATTACCCATAGCTCATGACCATAGCTGAGGGCTGGGACATAGAGAGACCAGTAAATCGAAAGCTTTGCTTCTGGCTCAGCTCTCTCTTCATCAGGACGGTCAAGCACAGCGCTCGCATCACTGCAGATGCTGCAGACCCCTCCAGCAGCCCTGCAGGGGTAAAGAGACCTCTTCTTACTGTCCTATAATCTCCACTTTGCATGTAAATATGCCAGTACCTTAATACCAAAGAGGTGACTGAAATCTGAGCTTCTAAATGAATCACTTGAGCCAATAGGAGCTTTCATGTCCTCTCCACAGCCTACAATAGTGAATGAGAGCCTGTGTTGAAAGGAAGGGCCTGCCTCTATCCTCAGGTTACACAGCCAATCAGTAACAAGCAGCTGGTCCATGACTTATTGGTCTTGTAGTCAATAACACTCCTGATCTCCAGAATAATTCTAAACTTGTTCTTGGCATAATACACATTTATACAGCGGCACATACTTTGTGCACCACGGGTCACTGGACTTTCTTTTACTGTGAATAATTACATGAGAAGAAGACAAGCTTTATAAATACTCTGACTCCTGAAACCTTGTGCCAACAGCAGCCATGGGCTACTAAAAACAGCTGCTGCACATTCTGAAAACTAAAATAACTGATGCCCACAAAGCAGGAGAAGGCTATGAGAAGATAGCAAAGTGTTTTCAGGTAGCTGT